ATTTTGAAATATGAAAGCAATTATTTGAGCTCACCAGTGCTCACAGAGAAGCAGCAGTCACCTGTTCGACTTTAGATAGCAGTGGAAGAAGATACATTTCTTTTTACATTGGTTACACCTCTGTAGGCACTATTACCGGTGCCTGCAGCAGAGAGGGCTGCATTTGAGTCCTGTGGTAGGCTGGCTACAGGAGGCAGAGATGGATGCCTGAAGAGAGGAAGTTAGGGCACCAGGTGTTGAGTGCTCAGAAGAGGGATAAGGGGCTTATAGATTTCTGGAGAACTCAAAAACAATTAAAGGACATAAATAAGAGTGGATTCGTTGTTGTTGTGTTGGTTTTTTTTTTTCAGAAAGAAAGTGTGATGAGATCTGTGACTGCACCTATGCAGCGGCAAATAGGAGTAAGTAAAGCTTTCTCTGACATTGTATAAGTCTTGTCCCAGGGCCAGATGCATCTGGTGGGAGTTTATACTGCAAGTAACTGTGCTTTTCTGTGGGAAGTTCCTCCCCTGAGACATTCCTGAGGGATTAGTCAGATTTGTATGCCTCCAAAAGAAATGTGTACTATGGCTCCTGGAAAGAAAATAATAAAAATAATCCCAAGCAAAGCTATAGTGCAAGCAGATGGAGCTGCCCAGCCTGGCCCAGCAGGCTCAGGCTGTCCATGGCCAGCTCTGCCCACCTGCAGAGTGTGTGCAAGTCAGATGGAGCTCTAAAAAAATATCTGTGCTGTTCAAGAGAAAACAAAACTGGGGCTTGAAGATGACAATGAGGTGTGGGAAGTAAGTCTGCAGACAGCACCAAGTTGGGCAGGAGTGTTGATCTGCTAGAGGTTAGGAAGGCTCTACTGAGGGATCTGGACAGGCTGGATCAAAGGGCTGAGGCCGATTGGATGAGGTTTAATAGGACCAAGTGCTGGGTCCTGCACTTGGATCACAACAACTCCGTGCAGCATTACAGTCTGAAGGAAGAGTTACTGGAAAGCTGCTTGGCAGGAAAGGGGGCTGCTGGTCGACAGCTGGCCTGAGCTGAACATGAGCCAGCAGTGTGCCCGGGTGGCCAAGAAGGCCAATGGTATCCTGGCCTGTATCAGCAATAGTGTGGCCAGCAGGACCAGGGCAGTGATCATCTCCCTGCACTCAGCACTGGCAAGGCCATATGTCGATTCTTGTGTTCAGTTTTGGGCTCCTCACTACAAGAAAGACATTGAGCGCATCCAGAGAAGGGCAACAAGTATAAGGAGTGGCAGGGGCAATCTCATCACTCTCTACAACTACCTTGAAAGGAAGGTGTAGCAAGGTAGGAGTTGGTCTCTTTTCCTAGGCAACAAATGACTGGACAAGGGGAAACAGCCTCAAGCTGCGACAGGGGAGGTTTAGGTCGGATATTAGGAAAAATTTCTTCACTGAAAGGGTAGTCAGGCTGCACTGGTGGAACATAAACTGCTCAGGGAAGTGGTGGAATCACCATCCATGGAAATGTCCAAAAAACAGGTAGATGAGACGTGGGGACATGGTGTTGCTGAGCTAAGGGTTAGTTAGACTCAGTGATCTAGGAGGTCTTTTCCAACCTTAATATTTCTATGATTCTATGAATTTGAATGGAGAATTGTAGGTACTTTTCAAAAATCCAAACTTTCTTTGTCTCTTTTTTTGTTTTCTTTTAAAGACAACTAAACTATTGCTATTTGTAGTCTTGCATCTCACACAAATGAGAACCTTTTGCATTAAGCAGAGGACCAAGTGGATTAATAAAAGGTTCTGTAGTTTCCAAGAGGAATAATAATTCCGGAGTGGGAAATCATTACTACTCTATCCCTTTGGAGACCAGTGGGTAAATTTGCTCATGTTTGAGTATTTGAACTAACACTGTGCAAATACCACATCTCTTTCTAATTTTGGAAAAGTGTGTTGATAAATCAAAGACATCCACAGTTGTGTCCTGAATGTTCTTCTGGAGGTATTGTAGCTGTTGGGTGGGACAGAAGAATAAACGTGTGCTTTCTAAGTAGGAAGACTGCATCTGAAAGATATGATATGTTAGCCTAAAATAATGTGAAATTGTTGTAAATGAAAATCCAAATTCTGTATTTAGAGCTTCAGAAAAAATATAATTGAGCAAAAATCACTTTGCCACCACTAGAACCTGCTGTTTGGGCTTGAAACCAAAACTGTGCCCAAGATATATGAATCCTCAGGGGTCTTTCCACAAGGAAAGTGATGTTACACTGGCCATCTGCCCTCTCTGCCCCACTGGGAAACCACCCAGTTGCTTGTTTATGGGTTGACCTTGAGAGATGGAGGCAGTTTTGTTGAGGTCATCTGGACTAATTAACTCAGAGAGCTGGGTGTGTCTGTACAAAGCCGCATTTGCCAGTGATCAGAAAAGCATCCAGCTGCCTTTTGTTGGGATCCAAACTGTGGTGGCAATAGATTTAAGATGCAGAGATGAAACATGTTTGTTACTTATGCTGATCTGAAGGGCCTATTCCTTCCTACTGAGATCCAGGATTCCTTTTGGAGCTCCCAGGGAGGAATAAGCAGCCATCAACCACAAAAGAGGTTTTGACTATTTTATCACTGGTTGAAATCATATGTATTGGCTTCAACAAATTTGGCAATGTTGGAAATGGGAGAGAATGAGAGGGAAAAAGGTCTTGTAATAAGCTGCTGGTTTATCTGGGACACTCCTCTTGCTTGCTCTCCAAAGAAAAAGTAGTTCATTTTATCCACACTGGGAGAAAAAAGCAACTTCTTTATCGTCTCTGAAGTGGATTTCCCATTTTCTGGCCAGCTTCTTTTGCCAGTAGGGCCAAATTGCCTGCATAGGCATAACTTTCCTGTTCCCCAAGCATGCAGTGCATGTCCAGGGCCAAGGAGGACAAACATCTTCTGGTGGAGTCCCAACCAGCCTCTCCCTTGGGCCAGGATTTGGTAGGAGGGGTCCATTCATGCTCAGAAACCTCAGCCCTTTGGCAGAATGACATGATAAGGATCTGCCTCAGGTCTGTATTTCAAGCACATTATTTAATGAGAGCAGTAAGCTACTGCGTAGGGTAAATCAGCATGGCACAACAGTTGAAAACTTGGTCTTGATTTAATACAGGCAAATGAGATTTTTGTGTTAAGATGTTAATTTAATCTTAGCTTTGCATGATCCTCAGTCACTGGTTTTCATAAGGCCTAGAAGAAAAAGTCAGACAGAAATAATAATAACTTGGTAAGGGCCGGGCAGTTACAATTGCATGGTTGTGAACTGAGGTGGGAGGTGGAAATCAGGTGCTGCAAGCTTGTGGCAGGGTCAGGTTTACGTGACCAAAGATCCTGCCAAAGAACGAAATGGGAGGATGAACCCTCTTTCTTTTGGGTTTTTATTTTGCTTCCATCCAGTCCTGTGGCTACAAAGCAGATATCCTCTGTGATAGCTGCTGTCCACCAACTGTCCTTGCCTCAGCTGGTCACAGAGGTGACACTCTGGTTTGGATCACGACCTCCAACTGCAACTGCCACAAACTTTACACGCTACATGCCACTGACTGCACTGATGGAAAAGGCAAGTGCTGCTTGAGAAAACAGTGAATATCACTCAACTTTCAAAAATCTTTACAAAAGAAACATCAGAAAAGTGTTTAAGATAGATTGAAATGGTTGGCTTTAATTTCTATGAGGTTACTTCTGCCACATAATTATCTTACAGATTTTAAACATAACTTGAAGTGTATTTCTAAAAGAAAACAAAACTGGTTTTGTTCTGAAAATGCTAAAACAGGCTCTTCTAGAGGCCTGCTGGACTTTAGAAAGGTTTTGCCCCAGAGTAAAAACTTAGCTAAAACCATCATTCATCAGACTGCTTTGCATTTCAGTAGACTCAGGTTTTCCAACGTAAAATGTTTCCATCTTTCTTTGACCAGCTCTGTTGAAAGCTGTCGGTGGTGATACCAACAATGGCCTTATGAGGCTGTGAAGGGGAGCTCTAAGAAATGCTTATCAATGTATTACCACTCTTCACAACAAGGTTTATTACTATAACTTCAACACAGCAATGGGGACATCTTGCTGTGTCAACATGATGTGTTTTATTCATTTAACATCATTTGTTAAAGTAATTCCGAATTCTACAAGTTGAGTAATTCATACATTTTTTTTCACATTTAAGCAGGCTTGCAGTGGGCATACAAGTTTTTTTATTTCCTTTTGCTTTCTGAGCTGCAGTCACAAGCAGTACCCAAGTGATATTTCTATAGGTTTGTGTGGTTGGATTGGGGTCTTGAGCAGTAAATCTCATTTCCAGTGGGCCTCAAGGCAGGAGTTAACATTGGGTTGTTGTCCATTTCCACCTTTGTCTGTGCTGTATGGGAAGGTTTTTTTTAAATGATTTCTAAATTTATTTTTTTTTAAATACTATGCTTACATGTTTTTCAAAAATTGTGAATTAGTTGTTTCTCAGTTTGCAGTAATAACTAACCTTCCCTCTCCCTCTGCTTTTAATATGTGAGAATATAGATGCAGATTATTGATTTTTCAGCATCTTAAAGGAAATCTCTTAAATTGGTGACCTCTCCTGTGCAGTAAAATCTGCAGGACCTCTGGCCCTGGCACGACAGAGTGATCCATCCTGAGGGAGGGCTCTGACTTTTCCCTGATAAAAGGATTTGCTTTAATATTTTTTAACTATTTTAAGATTGAGAGTTTTTTCATTAAATGTGGCTATTTTATTGATCTCTTCCTTTTTTTTTTATAGTAAAGTTTTGAATTAAAGTAGTAATTTGCTTAGAAGACAAATACCCAAAGAATTCTTGAGGTGAAGGGTAAAACTGACAGAGGCAGTGTGTTATGGATCTCTAGTAAATAAATATATTGTAAGCATGATGATTAGTGGAGGAAGATTTGAAATCTCTGCTTCTAACTCTAATTTCATCCCCTGTGTGTTCCCCTCCCAACAGACTCCTGTTCTGATGTTTATGAGAAATGATTTTGCCATCACTATTTGTTCTTCTGCAGGTTCCTTCTACTCCTGGAGCCTGCTTGGCTCCACACCTCTCAGCTTGCCCATTGACAAATTGCTGCAGACATGCATCCACCTATCCTAGGTTTGCCCCAGGCTTCCACACCACACAGTGTATGTCCATTAAACAGCTCGTGCTGTGTTATCACAGACTGTAAATTACTGCTTAATCACACAGCTGGCCTGGATGTCCATCTCAGTCTGACCTCAGCGTCTCCACGCGACTGATGATGAAAGATGTGTGCATACCAACAGCACCAAGTATTATGTTCTTGAGAATCCAGAGCAGGAGCCACCACAACATATGTGATGTGACTTGTTCCAACCTAGATAAACTGTTTAAGGGGGTGTATGTATGTGGGTACATCTGAGCAAATATGATAAGAGAACATAAGTATTTAAATGAGCAATGTCCTGCCCTATATAACAATAAACCAAACAAATCAAAATCCCCTCTCCCCCCATGTTAATCTCTTTTCTCCTGTTTCTCATTCTCACAAATCTGTCCTTGTATTTGCAGCAGCCTGTTTTCAGCATGGCAAAGTTTGCCCCTGTGTAGCATTTCAAGTAAAACAATTTAATGGCCCATTGGCTAAACGCTGACTAACCTACTTTGAATTCGGTGGGAGGTAAGGACGGAGCAGAATCTCAGCAAGGATTTTGGCATAGCATCCTGTAGCACTCACATCCTTGCAGTTTAGAGGGAGCTATTTACTCACATGGGGCTGTTTCATGCTCTGCATGAAAACTATTTTAACAGGTTTTTTGCATTGAAACAGCATTACTGAGGCACTTACTCAGCTTTCATTTGTCAGGCTTTGCTCTTGGCCCTGCACAAAGTGGGGCCTCTTCACGACTCGTTCAGTGACATGTTCTTCTCTGTTGACCTCTCTCTGTGTATAACTGTGAATTGTATGGGATATTAGAGATTCATTATTTGGCTGTGGAGAGGTATCACTGGCAAGCATACATAAACACAGTTATGTAGTAAGTATGGTTTGCCATAGCTCATTTTGGGTTGTTGAAATATCCACAAAGCACACAGACCTATAGCCGTCTGCTTTTCAATGGCAACGTGATTAGGTTACTTAATTACCATCCCCCCAGTAGCACGGGAAACCTCAGCTCTGACTTAGCAGGCAGGCAGTGTGAGTAATGCCATCACAGGTTTCCTGGTAGGTGCCTGTGCATCTACATTCTGTTCTAGCTCTGCTTTGACAGATCAGTGATGTGCAAAGGCAGAGTCCTGCTGTCCACATCTATACCTGGCACAGCTCATCCCTGGAATCTGGCTGGAGAACACATGGGTAAGTAATGCTACTGGCTAAGCAAGTGGCTTACAGCCGATGCACAGGGAAGGAATACCTGCAGGAAGCCAGTGTGGCCTTTCCTAATCACCCTACTGCTGGATCCATGGGTGGGTGAGCCCCTGTGGCTTAGATTCATGGACTGCCTTTAGTGTTTAGACCTATACTTTTCTCTCTTGCCTCTTCTGTTTTAGTCTTCATCCGTATTTTAAATCACGGGGGTCTACACGTGACAGGATGAGGTTTCTTTGATCCACAGGGGATGCCTTTGGGCTTTTTCTATTTTTCTTGTGCAACTTACATTCTGAAGAAGAACATGGTCAAAAAATATTTGACTTCCTCCAGCCAGAAGAACTGCAGACCAGCTTATAAGACACTCCAAAATCTAAAAATGCAGTTCTTAAGAGGTTTTATTATAGCTGTTAGGCTTTTTTAACAAAAACAAAAAGTGGAAATTTTATGCTTAAATCCTGTTTTCTTCTATGCAGTTTTATCTCCTTCACCCCTCTTGAAAGTCGTCTGAAAGCTCTCTGAATTAACATTCATTGAAATCAATATCAGTTTGGGGGAATCGATTAAGGTTCATTCATGGAATAAACAAACTTATCTATTTTTGGAATATTTTTCAAAGAGCTGTGCTGTGACTTAATCACAGGGAGACACAAAACATAAATATATGCATAGAACACAAACTTTATCTGTTGCAGAGCAGCAGACACCCTGGCAATCAGATGCTCACCAGTAAAAGAAAAGCTAAAATCTCTACCCAGATTTAGTAACTCATTTGTCAGTAGAGTATCTGCAGAGCTAACCAGTAGCCCCAAACATGAATAAGGGCCAGGAGCCAAAGGTTAGTCACAGAAATGGTTCACAAGTACCTCCTCCCTTTATAGCTTGTTTAAAACAGTGACACTTGTTTGTGTTTGAGCTTTCTGTTATGTGTACGCTGTGATCTTGCTTTCTGCTCCTCCTCTGCCCAGAATTTAACTGAAGACTTCCTACCAGCTTTGCCACTGGTATTATCCTGAGCTTTGAAGTGATTCCTCTAGTTACTTCCCTCTCTGCTTCACCCCTGCCCCAGGACCTCTGGCTGAGCTCAGCCTTGGGAGGTTTCCCACTAGTGCCTCCTGGAAAGACCCCTGGGTTTCCTATGGAACATCAACAGACCCTCAAAGGCTGCCCATTCACCTAGTGCTAGACAGAGGATCTTCTGTCCTGCAAGTCCTCAGCTCAGACCAGCAACACAAAGATCAGGGTTAGCCTAGGCCTGAGGCTCATGCACAGGCAGCAGCTTTTCCTTTTTGTGAAACAGGCGAGGTCTCCAGTGCTGCATTCAAGCGGAACAAGTGATGGAAGCAAGGTGCTGCGCTTAGGGCAGGTCTTCACATTTCCAAAATGATGAAGTTCATCATGAGATGCATTAGACCAGAATCTGATACATGAGAATGTCATTACATGGGAAGAATACTTGGTGTTCTAGAGAGATTAGCTTATTTTGGCTCTATCACTTCCATCATATACAGCCATGAAGAAGGTATAATGTTCCCATATTACATAATGGGAACAGTAAATAATAAGAGATATTTCACTGAGGGGCAAAATACCTGACCTAATGTCGAAATCTATCATTTGGACTTTTGTACTAGTTAGTTTATGTACTGTTAGTCCATCAAAAGATTTTAGATCAAATCTGTATGAGAGGTTATACAGTAGATAAATTTTAAGATTTTACCCTTTTTATTATTTATTTTGTCCCTATCCTTTTGTGGTTCTAAGATCTTTGTGGTTAATTTTAAAATATAATTTCTCAGACTGTGCATAATTTCACAATTCTTGGTTCCACTAAAGCCTTTGGAAAAAAACATAACAGCAAAGGAAAATACAACAGTTCTGACAAGTCTCACATACTTCACATAAATTTAAGTAATCTAAGATTCAGAATTACAGGAAGATTGAATTAAAGGAAATTTGATGTGTTTCGTGAGCCTATAAACTTTATTTAAAAAAACATAGTTAACTCACAAGTCTGTTATGTTGGGAAGATAAAGGCAGGAAAGGAATATTTATATAAGTAACTAAGGTTTATAATGACCCAATAAGGCAATATGATTTAAGTCCTTTTTGAGTGTTTTCCACTCACATCACCTTAAATATTTTTACTGGGGATTTGACTCTTGTATACTTTGCACAGATTTCTAGATAAGAAATCAATACTTATATTTATTAGAGACTTTTCTGTGATATTTGAAAGGAGTCCCAAGAATCTCAGAACACAGCTTGAGAAAAGCCACACCTCAAGAATTAAAATACACTGAATACTGATGCAAATTCTCCCTATTAGTAATGCCACTATAGCAAAACATATGGTTGTAAAAACTTGGATAAAATTGGGAACTTCAAGAAGTACATAATATGTAAATGTAACAACACACACGATCAAAAATCCGTAATGAAGAGTTGCAAAAGCTTGCTGTAGAGGAATCACATTGTGGGTTTTTTTTCCTTTGAAAAGAAGAGCCAGACACTCATGCACTATTTAGTCAGTAAGGCTAAATACTTTACACATTAAGGCCATTGCACTGCAGTGCCAGTGAAATTTAACTGCCCATCAACCTCTGCCTTGCACTGGCAAGCGTTCTCCTGCTACATTGCAGCATGAAGGAAACTGCCATCCTGAACCTCCTCACTTCACTGTGACTGATGCAGAGATCAAAGTGAAACAGGCACGTGTGATTTTCACATGTGTCTGGTAAAAGGTAAATTAGAAAGGCAGGTCACTAAACTTGGGGGAGGGAAGGAAAAGTTGAATCACCAATTTAGTCTTCTTTTCATTCTCCCTCCCTCAGGGTAAAGTATAACCACTGTAAAAATTTAAATAAGCCACTTAATCATAAGGGATTAATAACTTATCACACCATTAGCTGCTATGAAATAGTTAATGTTGCAGAAATCTGGAAAAAAAAAAAATCCATCCCGGATTTGCCTGTTATCAGTGCACTTTTTATGAAGGTTCATTAGAGGAAAATCAGAGCAGTAGCTTCTACAGAGGTAATTGAATACATAGCAATCCATCAGGGCCAGAAAAGCTGCTTTTTGTGGATTCAGGACTAGTTGTTCTGACAGAATTCTACTTCAAATGTCTCTACAAAATTCTCCTCTGATTAAGCTAAGCTTCCTGCTATGGCATCCTACCACTTTTTCAGTCTAAGTCCATATCTTTTATGGTGCTAGAACCATAATTTTCATTTCAGCAATAATCTAAGCAGGCAGTAGTCTGTTAATAAAACTTAACCCTTGATGATACCACTCTACTGGTACCAACACTAAAGTACACTTTTAGACTTAAAACAGGGTTTTGAAGTTTGGTCTGACTTTCTATCCCTTAGCTCTAGGAAAAGGAAAGGGAACAATCGAAATACTCCTGTTGTTGGCCAACTGTATGCAGTTATCTAATGAATCAGCAGAAGTGAAGAACAGGCAGCTCAAAGCAGCCAGTAACACAGATCTGCATTTTGATAATCCAGTTGCTTATAGTCAATGCAGAAAACTGGGCACTACTGTGGGAAGCTGCACACACTGTCACATTGCTCCTGCCCCTGGTTGTGAGAAAACCTAGGGTGATGCTAAAAAGTACCAACTAGAAGAAAGCACTGGTCCCTCTCACCTGTTCTTCCTCTTCAATAGTTTCAGTGGCACCAGTTGCTCTTTTCTCCCTTTGGTTTTGTTGTTCCAGGCAAAATACTGCTGTAGCAGTGATAGGTTCTTTCAAGTGTGTACAGCCCTTCAGGCAAAGACTCCTGGGGCACAACTGTTCTGTGTGAAGTGTGGGAGATTTAAGCTTTTTTATGGCTTGAGCACAGGAACACAAAGCAATGGCCTGTCAAACATGACAAGGGCAACACTTACAGCAGAAGCACTGAAAAAAGTTAAAAACAAGAGGCCAGGAGATACCAGTAAAATGAACTTTATTTCAAAGCTCATTAAAAAGCTTCACAATAACACTAACAGAATTAGCACTTCCTTCATTTTATGTACCCCACATGAAAAATGTATTGTTTAGCAAGAGATGAAACGTAAGCGTTTCTGCATGCTACTAACACATTTC